AATGGCGATTTTTTGTTACAAATTCTCTATAAAAAATCAAGCGATAACTTTTCATATCCAACAATTAAAAAAAAAAAATCGAAATACAATATTTGAATCTTTATTTACTAAATCATATGCAACCAAAATATCAAGTATTAAGAAACGAAAAAGTAAAGACTTAATTGATCCCAATTTTATATCAAATTCCAACCCTAACTCTTGTCCTGAAGATGCTATTAATACTTCAAATAATGATACTAGTGATGAAACGTTAAGTGATGATAACATTAGTACAAGTTCCAATAGTGATAGTGATACAGAATACACTAGTAAAAAATTAAGGACCAAAACAAAATTACGCAAAAATGAAAGTTGGGTTTGGAAACATTTTCGCAAAAGATCACTCTCAAAAAAATGAAAAAAGCGTGCAAATTGTACTGTAATTATACAAGATAAAAAATCTCCAAATGGTCAGCATGAATGCGGGCAACTAGTCAAGACTCAGGGCTCAACAGACAACTTTCAATCCCATTTAAATACTCATAGAATTACTAAGCTGATTCAGAAAAATAGTACAACTCCTCAACTAACAATTAATGAGATGTTTCAACGTACTGTTAAACAGAATTCTCGCCAAAAAGAATCTATTGAGCGTGCCTTGGTCAAATAGATAGTCACAAATTCACAGCCTCTTCATGTTCTGCAAAGCGAAAGCTTTATTAAACTAATTCATATATTAAATCCATATTATGAATTGCCTTCTAATAAACAAGTTAAAGCACAAATTCACCAAAGCTACAACTATTCAACTGAACATCTTAAAACTCTTTTTGCAACTGAACTCAAAACATACAGTTTGACATGTGATTTGTGGACTGCCCGTTCTAAAAGTGGGTACATTGAAATTATGTGTCATTTTGTTAATTCAAATTATGAGTTAAAAGAAATTATATTTTTAGCCAAGTATGTTCCATATCCCCATGATGCTATAAATATTAAAGCTAAATTAGAGAATGTAATCAAGTGTTGGGAACTTTCAGGAAAAGTAGTTTCAATTACGACTAACAACACCGCCAATATGATCAAAGCTATAAATTTGATGGATCAGGTGGATCGAATCCCCTATGCAGCTCACACGATACAACTTGCTATTGAAAAAGGATTAAAACCTGCAATAATTTTAATCCAATGTGCAAAACGATTAATTAATTTTTTAACTATGCCAAAACAAAATGAACAACTACAAAAAGCACAAGAAATGTTAAAATTTTCAAAGGAAAAAATTAGTAGTGATGAAAAATCATATCGTCATACAATTTCTGATGTTACAACCTGCTGGAACTCCTCCTATATTGCATGGAAACGGCTTCTTCAAATTAAGCATGCTATTAAGTTAATGGAAGTGACCATGAATGCTGATTCTGATTCTAATGTTCGTAAAGATGCAAACCGGCTAAAGTCTATGATGATTACTGAAGACGAATGGATTGTTCTTAAGGAATTGACTATGCTCTTAGCACCCTTTGCCGAAATTACTGAATTACAAGGTGGTAGCAATTACTCCATGCTCAGCTTTATGTAGCTAGCTATTACTATTCTTACCAAAAACTGTGCTCCATTAGTAGTTAGTACAAATGCTGAAGAAATCGACTTAATGGATACGTCAGATGTATTTGATGATATTGAAGAAGAAAATATAATTGATTTGGATAAAGAATCTGCAACAATTACCACTATTGATGGAAGTAAGATTAAACTCAACCAACCTCAAAACACAAATAGTTTAGTAAATAAAGTTAAAGAAAAATTATATATGGCATTAAAATATTATTGGAATATACCAACTAATAGTTCATTAATCGCAACACTACTTGACCCTCGATGCAAATCAATGAAGCAATTAAAAAATCAGGAACGTGATAAAGCTATTAGCCTTTTGAAGGAAAATTACGAATTACTTAATACTGAAAATAAAGATATAGGCTTACCGAATGAAGAACCAAATCAGGACCAAATGAGTCTTTTCTCAATAATGTTTGGATTGGATAGTACATTAGTAGAGAATGAAGTAGATCGGTATCTAAAAATTGAACAAGTATCATCTAAAATTAATCCATTTAATTGGTGGAAGGATAACCAAGAAAAATTTCCTATTCTTGCTAGTTTAGCTCGTAAATATTTGGCTATTTCTGCTACCTCAACGCCTAGTGAACGTTTATTCTCAAGCGCAGGTAACCTAATGACAGCCAAACGTACATCTATTAAATCTAACCTATTTGAAAAAATTCTCTTTCTTCAACGAAATATCGGAGTGTTGGGAACTATGTTTGAATCATAAATATTAAAATTAGTGTTTTTTTTTGTTTTATTTTCTTTATATTAAAACTTACAAATGTATTGTAAAACAACTTAAAAATTTCTACGGTAAATCGATACAAGTCACCCTATTTGCTGCTATATATTTATAAATAGTGAATAAAGTATTATTAAACTTGTAAAATCAAATTATATAGTCTATGTAGCAAGAATTTTAAAGTGACTTCTTCTATTACTAGAGTCGAAGAAAGCGATAATGTTACAAGATCATAAGGGTAATCAGCTTATATTTATCATCATAAATGAACATCTTTCTACCTCACTTTTTTGCAATTTTGATTGGCTGTACTATGTTAAACAACATGTAATATAACATGATCACGATAATTCAAAACAAATGTTCGCTTTGTCGAAAAACGTCTATAACTCAAAAATTTGTATAAGAAACCACTTTTGGTACTCTAACAAAAAGTTTTCCTTGAGTGATTTTACTATTAGAGCTCCTCTAACTCTAACCTTAGCATAGACCCTAACCCTAATCTAAACGAACTTTTAAGAATTTTAATATCGAAAGTTTTTGGTGGTAGTTCATAGTACAGCCAATCAAAATCACAAAAAAGTGAGGCGGAAATTAGTAAATGCGTATTGATATGTACCCTTGATTAAAAACTGGATAAAAACCGGATTGATAAACCGGATAACCTAATAAATTCGTTAGAAAATCCGATTAAAAGAATATGAAACAGGATATCTATCCGGATATCTGGTTAAATATCCAGATCCAAGCACTAAATGTATATAATTTCTTTTTTTTTTTTTGTTTTAATAAAGGATATAAAATTTTGTCGTAAAATAAAGTTTATAATGATAAGTTATATGAATAATAATAAAATA